ACTCCTGAAGTTCAAGGGAGACGCTGACCAGATGGATAGAGAATGGGTTTCGTGGACCGACGAGATGTTGTCCGTGCTGGAACTTCACGAAGTAGTGAAGTCGTATGACGTTTCGCTCGAGGAGGTGGAAGAATGGGTCAATGACCTGAGGATATGGTTCGAGCGAGCCAACTTGGAAGAAGAAAAAGATCCCAAAAGGGGCAAGAAGAGGTCCCTGGAAAGGGAGTCCAGCAAAGATATTCCTGCCGAGAAGGAGGTGGTTGAGACTTCTGAGACGGAAGTTATCGTTGAGGAGGAGGCAAAAAAGGTTAAAAAGAAGAGGAAACCTGTGGTTATCGAAGATCCTTATACCCTCCTGGTTCCAAAGCCGAAGAAGATGCCGGCGACCATTGAGAAGAGTGGATCATCAACCAATGCGGCGGTTTCTGCAGGGGAAAAAGCCTCGAGAATGCGCGCAAAGTCAATCGTCGGTGGAAAGGCGAAGAAGAAGGAGAAAAGTCAGAGTCCCAAAAAGGGAGAAGTGGTGGTGGTGAAAGGTCCTGAAGAAAAGGATCGTCCTCCTGATGTGGATGAGCAAGCGTCGGCAGCTGTGAGTGCAGAGCTGGGTCAACCTTGCCAAGCGATTGAGGACGCGAAAAGAGAAGGACTGGTATCCTCAATTCAAAGGGGCGTACAGGATCCTGTTCTTACAGTTTCAGACCTGGAGTATATTCTGCTGCAACTTCACCTCAAGATTGCCAACAATCGGAAAAAGAAGTGATTGGATGGTATGGATGAAGGGATGGTTTTTCTCTTTCTGGAGACAGGTGCGCTGGAACAGCCAATGTGCTGACAAATGTGGTGGTTACTATTAAGGGTATGGAAATCCCTGATAGTAGAAGTCAGTAGCTTTTCGCGTAGCGAAGACCACGGTTTGTGGTGAAGAAGGCCAAGGAGTCTTCAGTGATGAGAGGATCATGGTGAAAAGATTCTCTATGGTTAGTGGATTTGGCCAATGAGCTATAATTTCGTCCTGGTAGACGTTAAACCATATTGTGCATGTCAAGCAGCAGGCTACTGCCCTAATGGCAGTTTTTGGCCAAAGAATCTGCACCTCCAATGTGTCCTAGGAAATCCTAGGACAGGGGGAGTGCGGAGCTGCAACTGGTATTGTAGAAAGAAGTTAGTGTTGGAAGTTGAAAGGGTTAATAAACCCGGAAATCATTTTTTTGGCTCAAGACTGGGCCATGTGCCTGGTAGTAAAAGGGGAGTGCCCTGTGGTTTGGGTTTGTTGTGTGGTTGATCCAGGGAAATCAAGGGATTCTGTTGGGGTTGACTTTTCGGTTTCTCGTCCCCCTTCGGGTTCCCCCCGTATAGGGTTTAGGGTTTAGGGTTTAGGGTGTAGGGTTTAGGGTTTAGGGCTTAGGGTTTAGGGTTTAGGGTTTAGGGTCTAGGGTTTAGGGTTTAGGGGTTTCGGGTGTTCATCTGAAAACCTCAGGGATGGATTTACAAAGTTCTGGAAGTCCTTGTGGCTCGCCGGAGGGCGGGGTGTAAAGAAGTAAGCATGGCATAAATGTAAACGCTTGCGCGTGCCGCCTGGCAGCCGAGCCCACGGACAGGAAAGGAGGAAGGAGGGTTTCTGGTGTCCCAGGGGGGTGTTAGGGGTCCCAGGGGGTGTCCAGGGGGTCCCAAGGCGGGTCCCAGCGAGTCCAGGAAGGACCCAGCAAGGGTTTCAGGGGGGGTCTCAGAGGGGGCTTTTGCCAAAAAAGTGTTTGCAGCTCCTCCAAGAAATGGGGGGGTTCCCACAACAGGGCGGGGGGGGGGGTGGGTGCGTCACAAAGTTTGGCAGGGACTAGGGGGAAGGAGGCGACTTGAGCTTGTAGAAAGCCCTCACCCCAAAATCTCAAAAACCATACCCTAAACCCGAAACCCTAAACCCTTAACCCTTAACCCTAAACGCTAAACCCTAAACCCTAAACCCTAAACCCTAAACCCTAAACCCTAAACCCTAAACCCTAAACCCTAAACCCTAAGCCCGAAGCCCGAAGCCCGAAACCCTAATCCTAAACCTTTTTTGCGAGAGAGAGAGAGAGAGAGAGAGAGACTTCAGGTTGCTTCAAGAGCTCTCGGAACGCTGTGTTCGACGAGGCGTTCACAGAGGCTCCCATGCGGGAGATGATCCGACGGCGCATCAACCACAGCTACAACGTGTGGGATGCAGATGGGTTCGAGTTCCTGACGCCGGCCGCTGGTGCTAGGGTTTAGGGTTTAGGGTTTAGGGTTTAGGGTTTAGGGTTTAGGGTTTAGGGTTTAGGGTTTAGGGTTTAGGGTTTAGGGTTTAGGGTTTAGGGTTTGGGGTTCGGGGTTTGGGGTTTGGGGTTTCTGCCTGGCTCACCTAGTGGGGGCTGGCTTCGGGTTTGCACTATTGCAGGTAGAGGTTCTCGCAACCCTACCCTAAAAATCTCTTTATAGGGGCTTTATCAATTAGAATAAGGTTTTGGGGGGATTGTTATAGTACACTTATGAATACACAAGATGGACTAGCTAATGGCATTGGTTAATTCACGCCTACACCTACACCTAAAGACGCCGTAAGGGAACAACCGTACTGATTCCCACCCCTAAAGCGCCGAGGATGACGGCGCCGGGCGGAGGAACGTGCATCTGCTGGCCCAGCAAGCCAAGCTCAAAAAGCAGCAGGATGCCGCCGGCATCCTCGGCGCCAGCGACTTCGGCGCTGAGTAAATCCTAGGCCCAAGAGTAACCTAGGAATAGCAAGGGTGCCCTTTTTGGTGTTGAAGGGGGCTTGTAAGGGAATCAAAGCCCTTAGACGAAAAGGGGAATAGGGGCCTACTGGGTCCTAGGTCACGTAAACTTCTAACCTTCTCTTGGGGTAGTCTAAACCCTTACTTTCCCTGAGCTCACCTAAGCCCCAAGCACCAAGCCCCCGAACCCTAAACGCCAAACCCCAAACCTAAACCCCACACCCTTAAACCCTTAAAGCCAAAGGCTGAGCTTTTGTTCCTTTTCACGATTTCAGGTGAGGCGAAGGCGCAAGCGCCAATCCAGGTGGTGGTGGGCAAAACCTCTGAGACGGAGTGATGGGGGGGCCATGGGGGCTGCGGTGGGGCGGTCGTTAGGGTTTAGTGTTTAGGGGTTGTTGTGGTTCAGGGTTTAGGGTTTTGGCTTCAAGGGTGGTTGGGGTGTAGTGTAGTGTTTGTTGGTATGGTGGTGGCTTCAGATCGCATTGCGGCACATGTAGCTGAGATCCTTTGGCGAGCATCCCCTTTAAAAGGGCGAATGTCTTGCCGGTCATGTTTTCATGGGTTCCCCTACTGGCCCCTCGAGACTACCCCCGTGGTCCCCCCCCATAATTACGGCTATTTGGGGATAGTTAAGCCCAATTCAGGTTATTCAAGGGGGAACCTAGGGGGGGGGGGTAGTATAGACGCGGGTAGCACTTGGAGGTTCAGGGTACTCATTAACGCAATAATGACTGTACTTATAGCCCAATTATAACCAGATTAGGGCACTTAAGGGGGCTTATAAGTGGGTTATAAGTACCCTAAACCCTAAACCCTAAACCCTAAACCCTAAACCCTAAACCCTAAACCCTAAACCCCAAGTAGGGGAACCCATGGTGCTTAGCCGGGGGCCTCCTCTGAGCCGTGTTCTGAAGCGGTCAGCAGCGGCAGATCACGAGAGAAACCCGGCACGCCCTCCGAACGGTGGCTGCGAAGTGCTTTATATTTGCAGCTCTGCTTCACTAAACCCCCTAAGCCCTAAACCCTAAACTGAAACTCCAAACCCCATAAACCCTCTAAATCCCCTAAACCCTATAAACCCTAAAAAAAACCATAAGCCTTACAAACCCTACAAACCCGATAAACCCTATAAACCCCATAAACCCTATAAACCCTATAAGCCCTATGGACCCTATAAACCCTATAAACCCTATAAACCCTATAAACCCTATAAACCCTATAAACCCTATAAATACCCTACGAACCCTAAATCCTAAACCCCGAGTCGAACCAACTGTCTAGCTTAACCAACTTCATGGTTCAAGGTCTCGATGGGGATGTCGGAATGATTCTGCCATGCGTCGATGAAGACCTTCCTTCTTCGAGGTGTATACCTACTTGGGTTCATGTGCGTATGGCTTGCCGCCGGCTGAAACACACACCAGGTTTAGGGTTCTGGGCTATGGGTTTTGGGTTCAGGGTTTAAGTAGGGTCATGGGTTTAGGGTTTGATTAGGGTTCAGGGTTCAGTGGTTTACCCTGAGCGTTGAGCACTTCCTCTGGTATGGTCTTTTGGAGAGGGCTGCTGTGGGAACTGCCTGTTGAAGAAGCTGGACCTCAAACAAGAAAATCTAGGGGTCATTCGAACCCGAGCCGGGGGTATGCGCTGTGCTGGCAGCTCGCCAGCCAAGTTGCTGACCGCTCGCCGGAGCTATCTCTCAAGCGGTTGGGAGTTGGGACAGATGTTCGGAGGAGACAGCCCACTCAGGAACCCGAAGAATAACAACGTCGATTCATTCATGGTTCCTGAAAGACAAGATCCCCTGAAAAGCCCGAAGCCTTGAACCCCTGAACCCCAAACCCAGGCAAATTTCGCCGTCCCGATCATAAACGGCTTCTCTCGCCTTGGAGAGCTTGAACCGTTGGGATTTCGAGTCTCTTTAGGGAATGTGAGGAGGTGAGGAGGGACCCATCCTTCTGCATCTTCTTCCCCTATTTTGCCTGTCTATATACCTTATAGAGTCTCTATATACCTCGGTAGCCCCTACCTTTTCCTGAATTCAGTTCAAAAGGCCCCCCTCTGAGAGTGACGGACCTTTCGCGGGGCTCCGATTTATTGAGAACTGCCAAATTATGATTATCATCAGTATGATTCTTAGTATGATTTTATATTCTTCTATTGTTACTAATGCTTTCGGTTTTTGGGGGGTGGGGCCTTTTTTCGTGCTCCAAGGTTCAGGGATTTTTCAGGGTCGAGCGCCCCCAACGGCGATGGGCCATGGTGGCAGCCCCCCTGCTGCCCCGATGGGCCCTCACCCTGGCCGCCGTCGCCCCGCTGGTCTTCCCGTGCGTGCTGTGCGGGACAGGCCCCGTGCGACGGAGGAGGAGTTTTTAGCAGCCATCTAAGCCCTAAGCCCGATAAGCCCTAAGCCCTAAGCCCTAAGCCCTAAGCCCTAAGCCCTAAGCCCTAACCCCTAAGCCCTAAGCCCTAAGCCCTAAGCCCTAAGCCCTAAATCCTAGAGAGGTTGCTAGAAGAGGCTGGCAGGGTTTCCCGGTTTAGGGTTTAGGGTTTCGGGTTTAGAGTTTAGGGTTTCCGGCTTTGCATTCCTAAACCCTAAACCCTAAACCCTAAACCCTAAACCCTAAACCCTAAACCCTGGCGGTTGGAAACCAGAAGCCTGAGGCTTGAATCCATGAAGCCTTGAAACCCTGAAGCTCTAGTCAGTGGCCTCAGGATTTCTATCGGGGTTTAGGGTTTAGGGTTTAGGGTTTAGGGTTTAGGGTTTAGGGCTTAGGGAGACAGTTGAATGCACACACAAGGGACAAGTGAAGTTTCATCCCCATCCCCGGAATATGTCTCAGAATTCCCTAAACCCTAAACCCTCAACCCATTCTCGGAAAAGTGCTGCCCACATGCTCCGTGTACCCCAGAAGAGACGTGCACCATCATCTCAGTGTTCGCTGGCCCCCCACGCTAAGCGGCTCCGAGCCCTAAATTCCAAACATCCCCAAGCGAAATAACCCCAAACCGCAACCCCCAAACCCTAAATCCCAAACTCCAACCCCTAAACGCCAACATCCCCAAACCCTCAACACCCTAAACCCTAAACCCTAAACCCTAAACCCTAAACCCTAAACCCTCAACCCTAAACCCTAAACCCTCAACCTTAAACCCTAAACCCTAAACCCTAAACACTAAACCCTAAACCCTAAACCCTAAACCCTAAACCCTAAACCCTAAGTCCAGGTCCCGCAATCCAGCGGCCGTGGATCGGCGCCACAGCCGAAGGACCGGGTAGGTGGGGGGTCTTAGGGGATTCAGGGGGCGTTTAGGGTTTAGGGTTTGGGGTTTAGGGTTTAGGGCTGCTCTGCTCGCTTGCTTGTTTCAGCATGCAGGCGATGCAGTGGGCATGCGCAAGGGCCTGGTTGCAGCAGGAGTTGCCTAGCAGAATCTAGAGATCAGTGAGCTAAAAGCGCAGATGACTCTCAAAAGAAGCCGTGCCCCCTGACCCTTAGGAAACTCTCGCGGCGTGGCAACCACGATTATTATTGATCTTGTCAGTACCGTTGTTTTTTGTCGAGGAAAGCCATCTCGGACAAAATGATAGGTCAAAAGTACCCGATTCGCGGGCAACATTGCCTGTGTGGCACATGAGACTGCGCGAGAGCGCGAAGACCAGTTGGAGGCTCTTGATGTGTGGAGTGCAGCAGTGACGCTGCATCAGCTAGCTTCTGGGAGCCTACTCTTGGGCGTCCCAGTGGCTCGACGCAGCTCCAGCTGTGCAGTCTGTTGAGCTGCGCTTTTGCTGTTTGCGCCCCGATGCCTTCAGAAACGGAAATGAGCCAGACCCAGAATACTTGGCGTGTTGCGCAGCGCATGCTGCGTGTGGATCCGCACGAGCGACTCAGCATGCAAAGCCAGGCAGATCCAGGCAGGCTCGGATTGACTGTTTGCCACGCGTGCCAAAATGGCTTATAATTGGATATAATATCACGTTTCGGATGGTTGTTGCTTGAGTGCAGCTCCAGGGTCTACCGTTACAGGTTGAAGAGTCTTTGAGTCGTGGGCATGAAAGTTTATGCCTCGCGTTTGACATGCCTTCCCCCCACACCCCCCTGGGTGTGTGGGGGGCGCCATTCCACACAGGACTTACTGCCGCAGCGCGGCAAGACGCCCTCAACCCTCAACCCTCAACCCTCAACCCTCAACCCTCAACCCTCAACCCTCAACCCTAAACCCTAAACCCTAAACCCTAAACCCTAAACCCTAAACCCTAAACCCTAAACCCTAAACCCTAAACCCTAAACCCTAAAACCCTAAACCCTAAACCCTAAACCCTAAACCCCAAACCCTAAACCCTATAAGTTGCCAGAAGTACGGTGGAAGCTAAGCTCCAGTTCTTGAACGGCAGCTCGAAGCCTTGAACCCAGCCTTTTGAAAGGAGGATCGCTAGATTGCCACAGCATATGCGGTCCCGCGGACGATGCAGATTCGAGAGAGGTGAAGGTGCGTGCTTTCCGGTTTCGGGTGCGCAGTCGTGGGGTGTTGGGGTGCTTGAGAGACGCCATCATTATCATTCCTTAAGCCCGAAACCTTAAACCCTAAACTGCAAGCAAACCTCCGGGACGTGGCGGTCTTTTCAGTGCAGTCTCGCAATCTTCCTGCTAGGGCCTCCAAGCCCTGAATCAACCGATGCCTTCTGGTAGGCCATCGAGTTTTTGAAGACGCTGTGGCTGCCCGGGGACACGAACGCCACCATCCCCGAAGCCAACACTCGCAAGTACCTCTCAAGTTTTTTCAGCGTGTTTTATGACAACGCCACCCGCGTACGGGACTTGGCCATCAAGCATCCGCCCCCTGGGGGAGCACTGGTGACTGCGTCGCAAATGAGCTGCGCGTTGCGACACTCGCCTCGGTTTTGGTCAGGCTTTTTTTGGTATCCAACCGCCTTAGAGTCTTAAGCTGCCCTTGAAAAATTTTTTCACCCTGTTTGATCAAAACTCAGTCACTTAAGGTTTCGTTTTTCATTCCTTAGGCATGCTTAGCATGTAGGTGTCAGGGTTCAGAGGGCTACTCCCCTAACCCTTCCGAATCTGCGTGTTCCAGTTTCCTGCATCAGCGGGTTTCCCGGCTGCTGGTTTCCCGAATCCGCGCTTTTGACTTCCGAGTGCGCGTTTTTTCAGCTTCCCGACTCCTTAGGGATTCTTGAGAATCATTTAGATTTTTTTTGGGCACTGTAAATCCTAACGAGCAGCTAAAGAAATAGATAAAAACAATATACATATATATAGTTTTGCTAGGGTTCCGAGTTCGGTAGAGAATCAGGTGGTTCCAGTTTCCGAATCCCCGCGTTTTGAGTTGTGAATCACCCGCTGACCCACCGCTGGAATTCTTTCGGGGGTGGGGGTTTAGGGTTTGGGGTTTGGGTTTAGGGTTTAGGGTTTAGGGTTTAGGGTTTAGGGTTTAGGGTTTAGGGTTTAGGGTTTAGGGTTTAGGGTTTAGGGCAGGGTTTAGGGTTTAGGGGCTGCAGGGGCTTCGGAGGGCTTGTGGGGTGCATGGTGATGTGAAGGAGTGAGGGCAGCTTTCGCAACACCCCTTGAAATCATCGCTGTGCATGTGTCTGGTGTCTAGGGCAGGGCCCCCCAAGCGAAGGCCCCACCCCAAAGGAATTTTCAAGGGGTGCCCTCAAGCACTCAACCCCAAACCCCAAACCCCAGCTACGATCCGCTTAAGAACCACCAAAAGAGAAAGGAGAATAATCCCCCGTGTTATGTACCCTTATAAGGAAGAGTATATTCCCCTGCTTTGCGGGGAGGCCTCAAGCAAACCCTAAACCCTAAACCCCAAACCCTAAACCCTAAGCCCTAAGCCCTAAACCCTAAACCCTAACCCTAAACCCTAAACCCTAAACCCTAAACCCTAAACCCTACGACCCAGGATGCCTGGCCCATCTCCGCGGCCTCTTCGTGGACAACTCTGGGATCGCGGGCGCTTTGGGCGACCTTTTTCTGCCAGAACACCTGGCGGGGCCACCTAGGGAGTTAAGGGGGGGATTCGAGGTAGGGTTTAGGGTTTAGGGTTTAGGGTTTAGGGTTTAGGGTTTAGGGTTTAGGGTTTAGGGTTTAGGGTTTAGGGTTTAGGGTTTAGGGTTGAGGGTTTGGGGTTTAGGGTTTCAGGTCGCTTGGTGGGGCCCCAACTAGGGCTCGGGTTTCAAGGTTCGGGGCGCAGCCGGGAACTCCCCCCGGTTTCGGGTTTCGGGTTTCGGTTTCGGGTTTCGGGTTTCGGGTTTCGGGTTTAGGGTTTGGGGTTTGGGGTTCAGGGTTTAGGGTTTAATTAGGGTTTAGGGGTGTTTCCCCGTATACTCGCAGTCCTTTGTAGGGACTATAGTAGGGGATACTATGAACCTTGCTAAGGACTGTTAGTATAAGGGGGAACATCCTCATGTATCAGTTGCAAGGCTCCTCATTTTGAAACTGATTTCGGCGTTTCCCTGAATCAAGGTCGAAGGCTGCGGCTTTGGGGGGTTTTTAGGGTTCAGGGTTGAAGGGGTTCAGGGCATAAAGGTTCGTGGAACTTACTAACTTGGGCAAGCTACTGTTCTTAGGGTCGTTACATGGTCCCTCAATGATATGGGCCCTTAAAAGGGGACCCCTTATGTACCCGTGGCTCAAAACCCAAGGGCCCATACTTCAGAATTGTTTAAAGAAGGCAAGGGACCAGGACCATAGAACTACCCTTAGGACTGGTAGTATAGACGGGGGGTAGTAGGGTAACCCATGACAGGTGGAACTGCATGCTCGCGAGTGCCCTCTGCGAGGTCCCGATGACTTGGGGCTTATAAGCCCTAAACCCCAAACCCCAAACCCCAAACCCCCTAAACCCCCTAAACCCCCTAAACCCCCGAAACCCCCTAAACCCCCTAAACCCCCTAAACCCCCTAAACCCCCTAAACCCTAAACCCTAACCCCTTAACCCTAAACCCTAAACCCTAAACCCTAAACTCTAAACCCCAAACCCCAAACCCCAAACCCTAAACCCAAAACCCAAAACCCTAAACCCTAAACCCCAAGATCTGGGGCCCTTGGATCCAGGTAGGGTCTACGGGGTTTGGGTTGAGGCTTGCTGGTTGCATGGGTGCAGATGCGGGGAGTGGAGCATTGTGCTCAAGCACGGTCGCGTGGTGACGCAGTGGTGAGAGGACTTGGTGTAATACTTAGACTTTAGCTACGCTAAAAGTGGTCTGAACAAGGCCCATCCCTTGCTCGAATACTGGCGTTTGTCGTAAATGAGGCCCTGGACAGACACACCGGCCACCCTCTGAGCCCCCAAAGTGCAAAAAGCCGGATTGGCTTCGGAACCCTGACCCCTGAACCCCGAATCCTAAACCCCAAAAACCAAAACCCAAAACCTCAAAACCTCAAAACCCCAAAACCCCAAAATCCCAAAACCCCAAAACCCCAAAACCTCAAAACCTCAAAACCCCCCAAAACCCCCAAAGCCCCAAAACCCCGAACCCCCAAAGCCCCAAAGCCCCAAAGCCCCAAAAACCCAAACCCCTGAGCCAGGCGCCTTGGCTGACCTCAACCTGCAGAACCCGCTCAAGGGCCTGAAGCTCTCAGGCAAGCGTCCCAAGCCCTAAATCCCTCAACCCTAAACCCTAAACCCTAAACCCGAAACCCGAAATCCCTCAACCCTAAACCCGAAACCCTATATAACTCCTTCAACCCTCGGCCCTGTGCCTTACCTGAACCTTATAGTCCCTAAACCTCAAGAAAACCCCAGCCTCTCTAGACCCGAGAACCTAAGCTCGTAGTTAAACCTTAGACCCGAAGTCGCTGGAACATTGTCACTACACCCTCGGTTCAGGGTTTAGGGTTCAGGGTTTAGGGTTTAGGGTGGCCGAAATCCCCAGATCCTGGAAAATTCTGTAGGCTTTCGGAAGAATTATCAAGAGTATTCCCGTATGTTCCCTATATAGTTCCACTACAATAACCCCCCTCCCCCCTTCCCCCCCTCCCACCCACCAAAAACAAACCTTTTCTGGCAACCCTGAACCCTAAACCCGAAACCCTAAACCCTAAACCCTAAACCCTAAGCCCTAAACCCTAAACCCTAAACCCTAAGCCCTAAGCCCTAAGCCCAAACCCTAAACCCTAAGCCCTATACTAACTGAATCCTTCTTCAGGCAAGAACCCACGGGACATCTATGGGGACCTCCATGACCTCAAGGACTTCAAGTCTCTTGAGTGACTGTCTAGGGTGTAGGGTCTAGGGTTTAGGTTAGGGTTTAGGGTTTAGGGTTTAGGGTTTAGGGTTTAGGGTTTAGGGTTTAGGGTTTAGGGTTTAGGGTTTAGGGTTTAGGGTTTAGGGTTTAGGGTTTAGGGTTTAGGGTTTAGGGTTTAGGGTTAAAGTTATCAAAATCAGGAAGCCCTAAACACTGGATCTGATGTTCGTCCGAGAGGAGTTTATTTGGGACCGCCTGGAGTTCCTCGACTTCCGCGGCGCGAGCTCGATTACCGGGAACCTTTTCGTCTCCTTGGGAAAGTTTTTGGTTCGTGGCTTTCTTTATTTTTTTTTCGTGAAGGGTTGCTTGGGGTTTCTGGATAGGGTGCGGCCATCCTTGTCTAAAGTTTGCTTTCATGATCTATACATATATAAGCGTACATTCGTGCACATGTATATGCAGATGTATGTGCATATGTATATGGTCGTGTATATGCATATGCAGAGGTATACAGCACCCTAAACCCAAAACCCTAAACCCCAAACCCCAAACCCTAAACCCTAAACCCTAAACCCTAAACCCTAAAACCTAAACCCTAAACCGTCACACGCTGTTGTGCTTCAGTCTCCAATGACTTTCGAGGTTCCGACCAAGGCTCAGTGCTTGTGCCCCTGGAGCCTTGGAACCCTAAACCCCCTGAGCCCTTAAAGCCCTTAAAGCCCTTTAAAGCACCCTTTAAGCCCTTTTACGCCTTGCTCTTAAAACCCTTCAGACCCTTAAAGCACTTCAAGCCCTAAACCCTTGTTGGTGCTTTGAATGTGCAAAACCAAGTGATGGGCCTATCTAAACTTTTTTCGACTCTAGTCACGGCTTCGGAGAAGTACGGGAACCGATAGGGGTGAGGTTAGGGTGGAGGATTTTGGGGTTCAGGGGCCGGGTTTTCGGGTTTAGGGCTTCTGGGATGGGAACTGTTTGGACGTGTCGGCAGCGCCCTCAGTCCAGGTTTATGGATTTAGGGGTTTAAGGCTCGGGCGAAAGGGCTAAGGTGTCCCATTGCCAGCAAAAATCGCAACTTCGTCTTGCAAGGCTTCACGCTGTGTGGATCAAAGCTCCCAAGCCCCCCGCAAGAACGAGAGGCAAAACCCTTTTTTATATGGCATAGAAAGGGAATGAACGCTAACACCTGGAAACCCTATAAACCCTAAACCTTACACCCTAAGCGCCAAAGGAACCTCTCCGCGCTGGTCTCTGCATTGGATATCCGGCGGCTGAGAGGCGTCTTCCTCCAGAACCTCGGGCTTAGGGTTTAGGGTTTGGGGTTTGGGGTCCAGAATTTAGGGTTTAGGGTTTGGGGTTGAGGGTTTAGGGGTTTGAAGTGTTGGGGTCTCTGGCTAGAGGTCTCGGGTTTGGGATCTGGGTTTGGGTGCTGGAGCCATCGCCGCCACATGAGAGACAGCCACCCTTCACCCTTGCAACAATCAAGGTACACCTCCGTCACCGGAGACATCACCCAGCTTCTGCGCGCCAACAAGTTGCTTAGGGGATAACTTGGGAATAGTTGTGTTAATTTTTTTGGGGGGTACTACAATATCATATTCCTAAGAAACAGCAACAAGTAGAACATTTTTGCGAGGGTTCACTATAGTAGAAGCCAAAAAGTTGGAAACTCAATAGTCTCAATCCCTAAGAGTAAAGTGTAGGCAATCCCAGCACTAGTTGTCCTTAAAGAGGTTTCCAACTTTTTGGGGTTCTCACTAAGTTCAGAAAGAGGCTCATGACGTGGCTGGACCTGCGTGGCACAAGGGCGTACGGCTCCATCAACTCGGAGTGGCTCGACCTTGGCCAGGACCTGATCCTTGGTTTAGGGTTTAGGGTTTAGGGTTTGGGGTTTAGGGTTTAGGGTTTAGGCTTCGCCTTTAGTTGAACTTTAATCTTTTTGGGTTTCCTTATTTAGTAGGAATGTTAACGTCTAGCCTTTTTTCCCTTTGGTTATTGGAGAAGTAAGGATCTATTTGCGCCTCAGCAATTCACGAGTGACCTTCAACATGGACGAGCCCGCGATCGTGCCCTGGCTGCTGAGAAGTTTGCTTTTTCCCATCTCGGGCCCCCTAAGAGGTAGGTGTTCAAGCCCAAAACCTAAGTGCTTTCGTATGCTCTGCTCTGGAACCTCAAACGAAAGGAACTGGACTTCAAGAAGTGACCCTAAGTTTAGGGTTGAGGATTGAGGGTTGAGGGTTGAAGGAATAGGGTTGAGGTTTACACATGGCACCCAAGTAGAGGACCCCCGAACCGAGGCACCCAGACTTACAACAGCACCCGAAGTGTCCTTGCCTTGAGTGTTGAGCCCGCCGCTTAAGGTTTAGGGTTTAGGGTCTAGGGTGAGGGGTTTAAGAGGTGCGAAAACTTAGAGAAGTTTCGCCCGCAGCCGGCCCAAGCCCCTTAGTAATGCAACCCTAAACCCTAAACCCTAAACCCTAAACCCTAAACCCTAAACCCTAAACCCTAAACCCTAAACCCTAAACCCTAAACCCTAAACCCTAAACCCTAAACCCTAGACCCTAGACCCTAAACCCTAAACCCTAAACCCTAAACCCTCAACCCTAAACCCTAAACCCTAAACCCTAAACCCTAAACCCTAAACCCTAAACCCTAAACCCTAAACCCTAAGCCCAAGGTCAAGGACAAGAGGACTGCCAAGAAGCCCTTTCCCCGCCTGGCGAGGTTGGACCTGAATGGATGTCCGCTGAACATGGACCCTTGCCCCCAAAATCCGCAGAAGACGACCCAGGCCCCTTAGTTTAAGCAACCCTAAACCCTAAACCCTAAGCCCTAAGCCCTAAACCCTAAACCCTAAACCCTAAACCCTAAACCCCAAACCCCAAACCCAACCCTGAAACCCCAAACACCAAACCCTGTACCCTAAACCCTGAAATCATAGGAAGGACCGTCCGTATCGTTCAGGGCAACGACGGGGTGGGTGGGGGCCGCTTGAAAGGTCTCTCCCTGTTTCCTCTTTCCTTCTTGTTGGGCGGATCCTCAGCGCCTCAAAGCGCGCACACACTGAGGTTCGGATGCCCCCTCCTTATACTAACAGTCCTTAATCGGGACTATAGTACCCCCCGGTTCTAGTCCCTATTAAGGACTGTTCGTGTAAGGGGGAACATCCCAACTCTGAAGCCTTGGACTCTGAAGGCTTCCGTCCGCCTCTCAAGGCGATCTCAAGAGGCCTTGTGGTTTTAGGGTTCAGGAAACCTCCCTCCTTGACACCCTGAATTTCCCTCTGCCTGTCCCTCTCCCTCCCCTACCGCAAGCTCCGCAGTTTAGGGTTCAGGGTTTCGGGTTTAGGGTTTCGGGTTTAGGGTTTAGGGCTTAGGGTTTAGGGTTTAGGGTTTAGGGCTTAGGGTTTAGGGGTTGACTTCGAAGCAAGGACATCTGGGATCTCCTGCTGCCCCTGATGTACAACGACAAGCTCTTCTGGCTCCAAGCTGAAACTTTGTGGTGCTTTACTGGTAACTTTACATCTTTAGCCTTTTTGGGTCTATTGGGGTTTCTTAAGAAGGCAGCTAAAAATTTAAAATTATAGCAACCCTGCTAAGAGCAGCCAAGGAAGGCTGCGGTCTGCGGGGCGCCATCCAGGACGCCACACACCAGGGGGCTTCGGGTGCGGCATGGTATGGCATGTCGTCAGCTGAACCAAAAACCCTAAACCCTGAACCCTGAGCCCTGAGCCCTAAACCCTAAACCCTAAACCCTCAACCCTAAACCCTAAACCCTAAACCCTAAACCCTAAACCCTAAACCCTCAACCCTAAACCCGAAACCCTAAACCCCCCATATTCCACACGCCTCCGCATCCTCCACCCAATGGGGGTTTTGCTCAGGACATGCGTTCCCATCGGCTCTTCCCAACTTACTTCGGGCTCTACATTCTGGATCCTGTGTCATAGTTGGGCAACATTTTACATGCTTAAGGGTACTTAAACCCAACAAGGAATAAACAAAAACAATTTTTTCATATTAATACTTAAACCCAACAAGGAATAAACACATTAAGTTGTTAATATTATCCCAGCCATGGACTAGGATCTTTCGGGCAACAACATCACAGAGCTGGCCGGCCGCCCGCTCGGAGACTGCTCCTACGATCTGGAAGGGAACCCCCTCGCGCGCATCTCCGAGAAGCTTGGGATGGAGATCGCATGAAGTAGGTGGGTTTAGGGTTTAGGGTTTAGGGTTTAGGGTTTAGGGTTTAGGGTTTAGGGTTTAGGGTTTAGGGTTTAGGGTTTAGGGTTTAGGGTTTAGGGTTTAGGCTTGAAGTGAAACGGGCTTGGTCGGCACGTTTGGGGCTTAGGGTTTAGGGTCTGGGGTTAGGGTTTGGGGTTTAGAAGGGCCCCTGAAAGTAAGAGAGGTGTTTTGCCTTGGGTCCGGCACCAGGAAGCCCTCGTAAGCCCAGAAAACAAGCCCAAGACCCACAGAAACCCCTGGAAGCTAGCGAAGTCCCAAGGATGTACTTCGCGTGGCCCAGCAGCCTGAACATCAGGCAGTCGAGTTTCGACTCGGAAGTGAAAGGCTCGATCTGGGGTGTAGATGGCCCGCGCCAGTGGGAGGACGTCTTCGAAGTCAGCGACCAATCGGTGAGCTCAGTGCAACGGAACATGGGAGAGGGATGGGAATGCCTCGGCCTCAGGTCGAAGGAGAACCACTTCTTCGATCTTATGGTGTCGCCGGACACCTTTGCTCCCTGGCACCTGTGCCACTGCTTGACTGGCTATCAAGGCGAGGGGACCAACTGCACGATCTGCCCGGGAGGGGTCACCTCCATCCCAGTGAAAGGCAGCCGAAGCCGCTGCTGCGCGTGCCCAGAAGGGAAAACCCGGATCGGGGACATGTGCTACCAGTGCATGGGCCCAGGACTTACTTCGCCAACACCCCGAACTTTATAACCTTTTTGGGTTTCCTTACTTAGTGGGAAGTTTAGGGTCTAGGGTTTAGGGTTTAAGGTTTAACCTTTTTTTCCCTTCAGTATTGGAGAAGCAAGAGGATGCACTGAGCAAGTCTGCGCCGGCGCCTGCCCTCGCGGCTACGAAGGCCGCCTGTGCTCCATGTGTGGGAACAACCACCAGCGAAAGATTGGCTCCAAGGTCTGCGCCGCCTGGACCTGTGGATTTCGTTTTTTTTTTTTTTTGGGCGGGGGGGGGGGTTTAGATTGTTAAAGGCTTTGATGTGGGAAGCACTGAGGCAAGGATACCCCTGCCCTCCTAAACCCTACTAAGCCCGAAACCCTAAACCCTAAACCCTAATGTTGGACCTGCTTTAATAATGTAACCCCCCCCCCAAACAGTCGCGACCCTGAATAAAAAAAGACCCCAAACAGTCAGGCAGGGGAGGGGTCCGGAGCCCGGAGGCCTCCCTAAGCTACCCGCCGACCCAGGAAAGGTCGAGGCTTCAGGCTTCAAGTATCCCTTCTTCTCGAGAAAGCTTATGCCTTCCTGAAAACCGAAGGACTGAGCCCCGGGCCCCGGGAGACTTGCATTATAGCGGGCCCCCAAACAAAGGTATTAAAGTGTGTCCGGAGGCCTCTGTAAGGTACCCCCTTTCCGGATATGATTCGCCTATGGAATCATCTAGTTTTAAGTAAGGAATTTATAAAGAAAAGGCGCCCTGAAAAAAGAAGATTGTCGGAGATCCTGGACAGGTCGAGGCTTCAGGCTTCAAGTATCCCTCCTTCTCGAGAAAGCTTGTGCCTTCCTGAAAACCGAAGGACTGAGCCCCTGGCCCCGGGAGACTTGCATTCTAGAGGGCCCCCAAACAAAGGTATTAAAGTGTGTCCGGAGGCCTCCGTAAGGTACCCCTTTTCCGGATATGATTCGCCTATGGAATCATCTAGTTTTAAGTAAGGAATTTATAAAGAAAAGGCGCCCTGAAAAAAGAAGATTGTCGGAGATCCTGGACAGGTCGAGGCTTCAGGCTTCAAGTATCTCTCCTTCTCGAGAAGCTTATGCCTTCCTGACACCCTCAAAGAAACAGTCACGGCCCGAAAACTTTTCATTGTAGCGGACCTCCAAAACAAAGGGTCCAGATCCTGAATAGCCGAAAAACTTTTCATCATAGCGGCCCCCTAGAATATTGCGGGTGCAACATTAAACCCTAATCCCTAAACTGGCCCCAAACCCTAAACCCTCAGCCCTCAGCCCTCAGCCCTCAGCCCTAAGCCCTAAGCCCTAAGCCCTAAGCCCTAAGCCCTAAGCCCTAAGCCTATAAGCCCTAAGCCCTAAGCCCTAAACCCTAAACCCTATAACAACCTAAGGTGGAATGCACTCATGGGCGGTGGTCGGGTGGCTGGACGTATCTGAGACTCGGGTTGCATTCTCCCAACGCCTTTTGTCTTGTTTCCCTAAACCCTAAACCCTAAACCCTAAACCCGAAACCCCCTAAACCCCCTAAGCCCCCTAAGCCCCCTAAGCCCCCTAAGCCCCCTAAACCCCCTAAACCCCCTAAACCCCCTAAACCCCCTAAACCCCCTAAACCCCCTAAACCCCCTAAACCCCCTAAACCCCCTAAACCCCTTAACCACCCTAAACCCTAAAACCTAAACCCTAAACCCTAAAACCTAAACCCTAAACCCTAAACCCTAAACCCTAAACCCCAAACCCCAAACCCCAAACCCTAAACTCTAAACCCTAAACCCTAAACCCCATTTTTGGCGGGGGAGCAATGGCACGGATCCCTCCGCAGCCCCAAGCCCCGATAAGCTCTACCTTTCCCCCCATTGCCCCTTCTGAACTTCACCTCATCAAGCACCGGTTTAGGGTTTAGGGTTTAGGGTTTGGGGTTTGGGGTTTCGGATTTAGGGTTTAGGATTTAGGGTTTAGGGTTCAGGGCTGAGGGTTTAGGGAACCTAGAAGCTCGCGCCGGCGGAGGAAGTACCTGGTGGTCGGCAGCCTCTGGATAGGTCGGGGGTTTCAGGGGGTTTGGGTGTTTGGGGTTCAGGGTTTTGGGTTAAAGGGTGTCCTACATGACATGAAACGGGTTACCCTAAACCCCAAACTCTCAAGCCTAACCCCTAAACCCTCAACCCCATTACAGCTAAACCCTGAAGCCCGAAGCCTGTCCCTTAAACCTCTTACAGATGCCCCTTAACCCTAAACCCTAAACCCTAAGCCCTAAACCCTAAACCCTAAACCCTAAACCCCAAACCCTAAACCCTAAACCCTAAACCCTAAACCCTAAACCCTAAACCCTAGACCCTAAACCTAAGCCCTTACAGATGCCCCCGGCGCCCTGCTTGGAGGTTCATGGCACTTTAGAACCAGTTATAGCTGTACTTCTAACCCACTTTTAAGTCCCTTAAGTGCCCGAATGTGGTTGTAAGTGGGTTATAAGTACAGTGATTATTGGGCTTAGAAGTACCATGAACCTCCAAGCACTCCCTTGAGAAGCAGATTCCAAGCGGCCAGCCAGGCTTCAGGGCTTGGTTGAGGGCTTGTTTAGCGTTCTCTGGCCCTAAGCCGCAACCCGAAACCCTAAACCCTATACCCCAAAGCTAAACCCCAAACCCCCAATTCCCCTCCCCTCGACTTTCGAGAAGTCTCAGGGTCCCCAAACCCTAAAGGTTCTAAACCCCAGAACTCCACCTGACCCTAACCTCCCAACACAGCTCTGACTCCTGAAGAGACCCCCCTACGCCTTAAGCCCCCCACAAAATTGCCTAAACACCCTTGAAGCCCTAAACCCTAAACCCAAGGGTTTAAACCTTAAACCCTAAACCCTAAACCCTAAACCCTAAACCCTGAACCCTAAGCCCTAAACCCTAAACCCTAAACCCTAAGCCCTAAACCCTAAACCCTAAACCCTAAACCCTAAACCCCAAACCAGCCTCCACTCTAAGCTCTGAACTTCTCTGCGCGCCGGAGGTGGCCTCGGCACCGTGCTCTGGTATTTCGTGTACCACCGGGTGGAGCGGCCTCCAAGCTGCCTCAGAAGGGTCAACCTTTGAGCTTAGGGTTTAGGGTTTAGGGTTTAGGGTTCCGGGTTTAGGGTTTAGGGTTTAGGTTGAGGGTTTAGGGTTTAGGGTTTAGGGTCTAGGGTTTAGGGTTTAGGGTTTAGGGTGGTTTAGTTGGACTTAGGGTCAACCGTTGAGCTTGCTTGACCCTCAACTCAGGGCCTAGGCCGCCCCCTTACACTGGGGGGGGGCGGCGCTTAGGCCCTTCGACCTCTATGGCGCAAGTCGACCCAGGCCTCGCGCAGCTCGGAGGTCGGTAGCACCCACAATGGCCCACCTGTGAGCCCTGGACACCCCTGAAAACCCTTCGGACCCCTCTATGAAACCCTTCTGGGACCGCCCTGGAGGCTGCCCTGGGATCTCCTGATTCCTGCACGCCTGAAACTTTTTTCCTGGAACTTGTGAAGAAGCTTTCTGGACCTTTCTAGACATTCCAGCACAGGGACCTGGAATGGAAGAAGGTTTTGGAAGGGGGCAGTTGACTTAAGTTTAGGCCTAAACCCTAAAAGGAATAGGTTTGGGTAGTTTTGCCGCCTGGGGTGGATAGAGATGTTAGATGGCCCTCCACTATCGGGCCATGGCTGCTCTTCGCATTTCACTGCGTCCCAACCTTCACATGCGCCATTTCACAGAAAACCCTAAACCCTAAACCCTAAACCCTACACCCTACACCCTACACCCTACACCCTACACCCTAAACCCTAAACCCTAAATTAAGAGCCTCCGGCTCAAGCCGCCGACCCCGCAGGAGAACAAGTTTAAGGTTTGGGGTTTGGTGGATTGGGTTTGCGGTTCGGGTCTGGGTGGGGGAGTGGGGGGGGGTGGGGGGGGTGCCTTGGACACTTAACGTCTATTCTGCGCATGCTCTTTGTTTTCGCAAACCTCTCTGGGATTGGGTTCTCGTTTGGCGCTTCAACGCGGAAGGCGTTCTATCGGATCACTTTCTGGCGAAAGAGGCCACGAAGAGGAGACGGTCAACGGAGGACGGTGGGATGACGGAATGAATTTGACGGGAGGCCACAGAGACGACACGAGGAGCGTGGCGGACCATGCATGGATGTAAGGTTGACGCACGGGTTCGGGAACAAGGATGGGGGGGAGCGCGGACGGGGAGCATTCGGTCGATGGGCAGGAGAGCGTGCGCGCCCTCCGCGCCCTCCCCGCCCTCCCCGCCCTCCGCGCCCTCCGCCGCCCTCCGCGCCCTGCGGCCCGCACCCTCCGCGCCCTCCGCGCCCTCTGCGCCCTCTCCCCGCCCTGCGCCCTCCGCCCCTCCTCCGCGCCCTCCGCGCCCCTGCGCCCTCCGCGCCCTCTGCGCCCTCCGCGCCCTCTGCGCCCTCCGCGCCCTCCGCTCCGCCGCCGCTCCTCCGCTCCGCCGCCCTCCCGCGCCCTCCGCTCCGCCGCCGCCCTCCGCGCCCGTGGCGCCCTCTGCGCGCGTGGCGCCCTCTGCGCCCCGCGCCCTCCGCCCCTCGCGCCCGCCCTCCGCGCCCTCCGCGCCCTCCGCGCCCTCCGCGCCCTCTGCCCGCTCTGCGCCCTCCGCGCCCTCTGCGCCCTCCGCGCCCTCCGCGCCCTCCGCGCCCTCCGCGCCCTCCGCGCCCTCCGCGCCGCGGGTGTTTCCTTTGTAAAGTATTTGTTTACAAGGCACGCACGTGCAGCATAGCCTTCAAGTGTCCATCTTACGGGTGGGGGGGGGGTGGGCGAGAAGCTGTTTCGAAACCGAGGGAGGTTTTGACCTGCAGAAACCCATCCAACACGCCGCCAGGGTCGGCGGACCCTAAACCCGAAACCCGAAACCCGAAACCCGAAACCCGAAACCCGAAACCCTAAACCCTAAACCCTAAGACCTAAACCCATTTAAGATTCTTTATTCGGGGGGTCGGGGGGGGGGGGGGGGGGAGGGTACCGCACGCCTGAGGTTCAGCGCCTTCGAGCTCGGCCTCCGCCACGTGGAGCGTTTAGGGGCGAAAAGGGGGTTTAGGGTTAGGGTTTAGGGTTTAGGGTTTAGGGTTTAGGGTTTAGGGTTTAGGGTTTAGGGTTTAGGGTTTAGGGTTTAGGGTTTAGGGTTTAGGGTGTTTAGGGCGAGAGAAAAAGGGTGCTGAAAGGGATGTTTAGAGGGGCTTTGAGGGCTTGAAGGAATCTTTCAGAGTCCTAAGTTTTTTTTCGGGAAAGTTTGAAGGCTTCGGGGTGTTGGCGTGCTTTTGCAAGGTTGTGAGGGCGTTTGGGGTCTAGGCTGTAGGGCCTGGGGGGGCCGCGCCAGGATGTATTGCTTGCGGCTTGCTTGGGGTTTTGTTGCTGGATTCCGTTTATAAGGAGGTTTCAGGTCTCAAAAGGCCTTTACAGAAACTTAGGATTTAGGACTCACTACAGATTGCCCTCCCTTCGGGGTTGGGTGTCCGGTGTCAGGCGTCGGGCGAGTGATGTGCAGTGTAACCCTGGGCCGTAACCCTAAGCCCCTTCGCCCGTTCCTTGCTGAGCTTTCTGGGGCGTGCCACAGAAGCCTACACTGCCTACACTTGCGGAAGCAGCAAGGCACACGAAACCCTGAACCTTTAGAATCCGAACCCTCAACCCAACTTACCAAGTCTTGGTAACTTGGTAGGGCACTGGGGAACTTGCCCCGTGTATCCCCCTCACGTGATTATGTAGGACCCTTGTCCATTCTAGGCGTCCCTTGTTTTCGCAGGCTCCCATAAATTCCGCTGCTCAGAACCAATCGGCTACACCCGCCCAGGAAAGCAGGAGTGCATTGAGCAGTCCCTGCTGCTACTCACCTTCTTCCAGCTTCTGAAGACTCTCCGGAGCGCTGTCGACGAGTCGTCCGACTCATCTGAAGGTCCCTCCAAATTTACGGCTTAGTGCAAGGCGTCTTTGTTGTTGCGCAGGTTGGTGTAGGTTTCGCCTGTCACCCCAAGATACGCGGGCTTTTGGGTTTGGGATTTGGGGCTGCTACATTCCAGCACGTCGACCTTTCAGAAGATGTAGAAGTCGCTTGCTTGGGGAGAATGCAGGAACCTGTCAAGGATATACAGGGGTTGCAAAAAGCAGGGTTTTAGGGTTTCGGGTTTGGGGTTTGCTGGTTTAGTTGGGTAGATAAGGGACCAAAATCTAAGGGCTCATTCTGGAGGCCGAGACGGTGTACTGCAAAGATGTCCCCAGATCCTAGTGAGGCCGATAAGCCTAGCCGCTAAAGCCTTAAGCCTAAGGCCTAAAGCCGAAAGCCTTAAGCCTAAGGCCTAAAGCCGAAAGCCTAAAGCCTAGAGCCTAAAGCCTAAAGCCTACAGCCTAAAGCCCAAAGCCTAAAGCCTAAAGCCTAAACCCTAAACCCTAAACCCTAAACCTTAAACCCGAAACCCAAACACCCTGGGATCTGCCAGCCCATAAAAGAGCCCTACGTTTTGAGTGATCCCTATACCCTAAACCGTGAACCCTGATCCCTAACCCCTACCCCCTACCCCCTACCCCCTACCCCCTACCCCCTAACCCCTAACCCTTAACTCTAACCCCCTAACCCCTAATACCTTAAATCATATTCAAAGGATCCCTACATAAAATTAAGGGTCTATTCCTTGCTTCAGGGATACTGGGCTTGGTTTGGGGCCTGGGGCAGGTGGCACGATGTCACGCCTTTCCTTCAGCCCCTTGGAGCCGCAGTTGGCCAGAGAGCCCTCAACCCGAAACCCCGGCCCTATACGGCTTTAGGGTTTTTGGGGTTTAGGGTTTAGGGTTTAGGGATATAAGACTTGGGGTACCCCCCCTGTCCGAACCCTGAACACCCTAAACGCCCGACCCTGAGCGCTGTTAGAACAACCTCTACATTTTATGCTGCATTGCTTTGGGGGCGCCGGCTTCAGGGGTGTTTTTTGGATTTGTGGGTTTTTGGGTTTAGAGGGCTTCATGGCTTTAGGCTTTAGGGCCGTTTTGTTAGACCAGATTCCGAAGCCCACGAAGAAGAGTCTCCAGTCCTCAGCAACCCTTAGGCGTAGGACCCCAGCGAGGAGCCACCTGAACCGTACCGCCAGCCTTAAGCTCTAAACCCTGAAGCCTACGCCCAAAACCCTAAACCGCCCAGACCCCCAAAGCCCCAAGCCACACCTACGGTTTTAGGGTTTCGGGTTTGGGGTTTCGGGTTTATAGGGTTAAGGGTTAAGGGTTTAGGGTAAGCCTGACGCGGAACTCAGAGTTTTATTAGGGTTTGGGGTTTAGGGTTTGGGGTTTAGGGTTTGGGGTCTAAGGTTTGGGGTTTAGGGCAACCCACCTTCAGTCAGGCTTCCATCTTCTCCACAAGGCAGTTCTCCTTCGCATCGGTGACCTCCTCAAACTGCTTCTCGAGTTGCACCGCCAGACCCCGCGAGCCCTAAACCCCCCATACGCACCTTCAAGCCTCAAAAAACCCAAACCCTAAAGCCTCAAATCCTCAAGCCCTAAACCCACACCCTAAACCCTAATCCCCGGTCCCCTATGTGAAGCCCTGAGTTTTCATGTGGAGGGCAGATCCAAATGGTGTTTGGTTGGGCTGCAATTTTCGCTTGCTCATTCTCGTTTAGGGTTTAGGGTTTTAGGGTTTAGGGCTTGAGGCGCTAGAAAGTGTGTTTTCGGGGCTGCTCGCCGCCGGAAGTTGGGCTGCGGATTCACCGCTGAACCCCGAGGGACGAAGAGGGTGCCAAAGGGGCCCTCCTTTCAGATCAACCCGAAGTGAGCCGCAGCCTCAACCCAGGCGCCAAACACCCCTAGAAGTCTCTTGCTTGGTCAGCTTTCATGTGTGACATGAAGGCATGGGGTACTCATGTAATTGCTACGACCATGCCTGCATTCTCTACCAACCAGCAGCACGCTTCTGACAGCAACAGCACGGCTATTGCCATGACTCTCTTTTAATTTGGCAAGCCCCGAACCCTAACCGCAAGCCCTAAACCCTAAACCCTAAACCCTAAACCCTAAACCCTAAACCCTAAACCCTAAACCCTAAACCCGAAACCCGAAACCCCTAACCCCCGTAAACCCTAAACAGGCTGGGTGTGGAGTGCGACTTCGGCCATTCGCACCTTCGGCTCGGTGGTGATTTGAGGTGGCGCATTCAGGGGGTTGCTGGGCTTTTGTTGGGACATGGAGGGCTTCTGGCGTTCTTAGGGTTTCGGGCTTTTAGATTTAGGGTTACAGGGATTTGAGGGGCTTGGGTTTGTAGGGCTTTTTAGGGCTTGCAGACTTGAGAGGGTTTGTTAGAGGTCGGAGTTTAATGAGAGGGTTGAGTCAAGGCTTGAGTTCCGGTTTAGGTTTAGGGTTTAGGGTTTAGGGTTTGGGGTTTGGGGTTTGGGGTTTGGGGTTTGGGGTTTAGGGTTTGGGGTTTCGGGTTTGGGGGCTCTGTCTGCAGGGCTAACGAGGTGTTTGGACATGAGGGTGGTTAGGCCCGTTGAGGCTTGCCATGCCATGCCTTGGACTTCACGTGCGCTGCAACGAAAACCCCTAAACCCCTACACCCCTACACCCCTAAACCCCTGAACCCCTGAACCCCCAACCCCCTCACCCCCTCTAAGCCCTCTAAGCCCCTAAACCCCTAAACCCAAAACCCCTAAACCCCTAAACCCCTACACGCCTAAACCCCTAAACCTAAACCCCTAGACCCTAAACCCCAAAACCCCTAAGGAGCGGCTTGCTGGTACAGCGCCTCTCCACGGCGTTCCTGATGCCGTCGCTGTGCTTTCTGGCCCTGGCAGTGGGTGGCTACCGGGGCTCTCCGCACCTCAGACAAAAACTGGCAGGGTTTAGGGTTTAGGGTTTAGGGTTGAGGGTTTAGGGTTTAGGGTTTAGGGTTCGTACCTTAAAGAAAGCTGGCAGGGTTAGGACGCTTGAGCCCATGCCTCCTGCACCGAGGTTCTTCGCGCTCAAATTCTGCATCCTCGTGCTGTCTCTGCTTTTCCCTGGGAGCCTTGGCTTAGGGCCTATAGGGCCTAGGGCGAGTGCGGGGTTCGGGCTCAGGGAAAGTAAGAGCGCGTCAGAGTTTAGGTTTCGGGCTTTCAGGATTAGGTTTTAAGGATTAGGGCGATTAGGGCTTTAGATTTAGGGTTCAAGGTATGTATGCATATATATATATATGTATATAAAAGGTTTGGGGTGCAGGGTTCAGGGGAACGTTAGAGTCAAAGTAAAGATTTGTTAAGGCAAGGATTGGGCACATTGGATCGAGGCTGCACCTGCCTCTGCCAGCAAACCAATCCCGAAGACCCCAAGACCCCTCCGACTAATAAGCCCGAAACATGAAAGCCCGAACCCCTAACTTGAACCCCTAAAAGCCCCCTAAACCCTAAAACCCTAAGCCCTCAACCCTACAACCCTAGGGCTTAAAACCCTACAACCCCAAGCCCTAAACTTTTAAACCCTCCAACCCGAAGCCCTAAGCCCCACAACCCTAAGCCCTAAACCCCCTAAACCCTAAGCCCTCAGCCCTAAACCCCAAACCCTAAGCCCTCAACCCTACAACCCTAGCAAGCCGCTGAGGACCATCGAAGTGACTTGGTAGCCCAGTGGTACCCTTTACCCTCTTTTTTTGTTCTGGTTTCCCCTTCAAACTAACCAACCCCCCAAAAAGGGTGCCCTTATTGAAATATGGTTACTAGGCTACCAAGGTGACCCTGTCGAACCTAATCTGCGTCACGGCCGGGGCCCGAAGATCATCAACCTGACTGGGTTTAGGGTTTAGGGTTTAGGGTTTAGGGTTTAGGGTTTCGGGTTTAGGGTTTAGGGTTTAGGGTTTAGGGTTTAGGGTTTAGGGTCTAGGGTCTAGGGTCTAGGGTGTAGGGTTTAGGGTTTAGGGTTTAGGGTTTGGGAGTTCAGTGACCTCCATAAGCCACCTGTCCTGAAACCCCTAATCCCTAAACCCTAAAGCACAACAATATGAGGAAATACTTACCAGGAAGTTAAAGAACATATATACATGTTGACCTCTGCATATGTATCTTTGCTACTGGCGAACCATATAGTGCCCTCATGAATTTTGGTCAACTTCAGTTCGGGCTAACTAGTATATAGTAAAAAATGACCTTATCATGGCAACAACAAAATCACGTTCCTGAACTTAAGAGCCCAGAAGGACCCAAGCGTGTGCAAAGGCCGACGAGGACGGGCTCCCATTACCCTCCCAATCCACTTTCCTCAAGGAGACCGCGCCAGGGTTTACTTGGAGGGTTTAGGGTTTAGGGTTTAGGGTTCATGGGGGCCACATTACGCTAGGGGGTCCAAGTAATTTCTAGAAAAATATTCCCTTATGGTCCCTGTATACTTGTACTATAAGAAACCCCCGAATCTAATCATTAAGGCCCCTTTATTGCGCAGCGTTATAAGTACCCCAAGCAAATTCACCGCTAGCTCAGGGAGTTTACGAACATAGGAGACTCCTAACATAGACCGCCAAATAGTAGGACCCCCAATAAGGTACCCCTGATTTCGGAAACGTCTATATGCTCATGAAGCTCCCGGTAGAGTTGAGAAGGTGTCGCAGGTCAAACTTGTGGGGTGACACTCCGGATGCGCGAGTCTGGCATCGAATGTGTGCCCCAAAAGGATTTCTCAGCTCGAAGGAACGATCCAACCCTATAAAACCCAATAGCCCGAAGTGCGAAACCCTAACCCCCAAGCCCTAAGCCCTAAGCCCTAAGCCCTAAGCCCTAAGCCCTAAGCCCTAAGCCCTAAGCCCTAAGCCCTAAGCCCTAAGCCCTAAGCCCTCAGCCCTAAGCCCTAAGCCCTAAGCCCTAAGCCCTAAGCCCTAAGCCCTAAGCCCTAAGCCCTAAGCCCTAAGCCCTAAGCCCTAAACCCTAAACCCTAAACCCTAAACCCCAAACCCTAAACCCTAAACCCTAAACCAAAACCCAATAGCCCTATACCCTAAACCCTAAACCCTCCTTAAGCCCACACCGCTCCCGTATGCAGGAGCTCCCCTGGGCCCACTGCGACTCACAGAGGGGATTTCTCCACGTGCTGCTTCCGGGCAGCTTTAGTTTTCCCAGTCCTCATGGATGTTGGGGGGGGGTGGGGGGTAGGGCGGGTTGCATAAACCCAAGACCCTAAAACCATAAACCGTAGAGTTTTTTTTGCAGTAAAGAGGGGGTTGTTTGGTATTAGAGGGTGGGGGGGGGGTGCTACTTCTTGGATCCTCCCAGGTAGGAATTGCCGACTCTGAGCAAAGAACATGGAGAAATAATACGGTTACATGGCCAAGAAGCCATGCTATGTGGCTTCGTGACAGCAACAAATCAGGTTTCCTCATGCCTTGCTGGAAACGGTCTTGTCTACCTAGACTTCGTTTTCAGTCCCCATGGACCCTCAATACCTGGATACCTGGTTGCCTCGTAAGCCACAAAAGGCTCTTATCAAACTCACGAAGCCCTAAACTTCCCTAAGCCCTAAACCCTAAGCCCTCAAGCCAAAAGCCTAGATTGTCGTGGGAAACACAGAAACTGGGTGGTCTATGGGAACTAAGATCTCAGATTTTAGCCAAAAAAGCAAGCAAGGTGGCTTCCGACAATTGTAAAGACACCCTCTTGCTTGCTAAGCAGTAAGGTATCCTGTTTTGGGTACCCAGACTGGGTCCCAAGCCCTAAGGGTACCTCGGGTGCGCTGCGGTTTTTGGGCGTCAGATTTTGGGCCACAAATTAGGGTGCAGGGGGGGTGCCCTAAACCCTAAACCTTAAACCCTAAACCCTAAACCCCAAACCTGAACCCTAAACCCTAAACTGAAGAGTGCGCCGCTGTCCATTTGCATGGGCGCTCGAGGCTTCGACCGAGATCCCCGACCGAGCGTCTCCACAGAACGGTGAGGGAGGGTAAAGCCTCCCGGTGCACTGGGGCGTCAGCCCTTAGAAAAATTAGGACCCCAAATCCCGCACCGTTGGCGCCGTCATGTTTTTTCCCCACCCTCGGTGCGGGGTTGTTAGATTTTAAAATCAACTGTGCTCCTCGCCCGGAGCTCTTCTCCTCACCCGGAACTCTTCTCCACCCTGGTCTACTCCTCGCTCATCCCTGGAGTGCCCAACCCCAAAGTGTCCCTTGGAGTGCCCAACTCTAGAGTGTGTACAGTCTCCCTGGAATGCCCTACCCCATAGTCTCCCTAGAGCCCAACCCAGAGTGTCCCGGAGTGCCCAGCCCCAGAGTCTCCCTGGAGTGCCCAACCTCAGAGTCTCCCTAGAATGCCAGTTCCAGAGTCTCCCTGGAGTGCCCAACCCCAGAGTCTCCCTGGAGTGCCCAACCCCAGAGTGTTGCCCAACCCCTGAGTCTCTCTACCAAGAGAGGGTAAGTAAAACAATTTTTTGGCGGGTCGGGCTACTCCCCGCAGGGGCCTGGGGCCCGGGCTGGCAGATTTGCACTTCCTGGGACGCCCTGGACCCCCCGCAGCCCCCTGCCGCCTGGGACCCCTTGAGGATTTGCAAATTCTTTTCATGGTTGGAAGCAGGGGTACCGTTTTGCTGCCCTAAGGCTGCATGAAGCCCCGCGATCCAGGATTGGCCCAGACCCGAAATAAGAATGTGGGTTTTTAGTATTGCAATCGACGGTTTTGGGCACCCCTCCATTTTACTCCGTGCTTACGAGCCACTGACAGGCTCCACAAAGCTCAGGAGGCCCCACCCTGCTCTTTCTCTGGAAAAAGCAAGAAAGTTCCCGGAAGGGTTGCTTCGGGAAGAAACACAAGAAATTCTCCATCGAGAACCCAACGACGCCCTCGTTGTGGCATTAAGTGCAGGCTCATCTCGGCATGTGGCGTGACATACACTCCTATTTGCTTAAGAACCCCCCCAAACATATAGCAAATATACTTTTCCTGAAAAGTTTTAAGGGGAAAACATATAGGGGCTTTTGTTCCTTTTTTTGTTCTTAAAGCAAAGAATAGTGAAGGTCTGCGGTTCTGCAGAGGTTGAGGCTTTGAGCCTTGCTTCTGCTAGCTGCCAGCCACCCCCGCGAGCCGCTGCAGGTGGTTCATGGCTTCTCCCTCAAAACTCTAAAGCCCTGTAAGGCCCTGAACCCCCAAACCCCTATACCCTTAGACCCCCTACACCCCCTAAACCCCCGAAACCCCCTAAAGCCCTAAAGCCCTAAAGCCCTAAAGCCCTAAAGCCCTAAAGCCCTAAAGCCCTAAAGCCCTAAAGCCCTAAAGCCCTAAAGCCCTAAAGCCCTAAAGCCCTAAAGCCCAAAAGCCCTAAAGCCCTAAAGCCCTAAAGCCCTAAAGCCCTAAAACCTTAAAGCCCAAAGCCCTAAAGCCCTAAAGCCCTAAAGCCCTAAAGCCCTAAAGCCCTGAAGCCCTATTTTTTGGGGGCCCAGGTTGTGGGTCGCTTTTGTCCTCAATGCCGTGCTCCTGCCCCTGAGCATCCTGTCCCGCGGCCAAGAGTAGGGTTTAGGGTTTAGGGTTTAGGGTTTAGGGTTTAGGGTTTAGGGTTTGGGGCTTGGGGCTTGGGGGAATTCGGGATTTAGTGTTTGGGGCTTTCGGGGCTGTCGGGGGTTTTTAATCGCAATGCCAGCTTGGGGCCCGCGTATGGATGAGAGCAAGAATGTGGTTTGACTTCAGGTTTCAAGCCTGTGGCCAACTTGGTGATAGATTTTTCATTTTTTGCCTCACCGGAGACCCTAAACCCCCAAAGATCTCTGTCCTTCTCGTTGCTGACCCGGGCATCTGTGGGTTTAGAGGGTTTAGGGATACTTCTGCTATCGCCTCCTCATTGTGGGAAACGACTCAGGGGACATGAAACATACGATTTACAGGAGCATCCGTTTCGGAATCCCTTGCCCTTGTGTGCTGATTTGTAGTATATTGGAGCTTAGATTTTGGCATTTGGTTTCGTCTTCGAGCTGCGAAAACAACTTAACTTCGCACACCTCTAGCACTGTGCGCTTGCATAGGTTTTTACCTCCCTGCATCTGAGCATCTTGTGCTGGCCCTGCAAGTTTTCGCTGCGCTCTACTGCTGTGTTTCTTGCGGCGATGTCAGTGCCGGTGCCATCATCTAGCATTGCCACTGTTGGCGACTGTGCTGTCCTGGCGGCTACAGCTGATGGAAAATGCGCGGTTCGCATGTTGTTTTTGCAGTTGCATCCTTCGGCAGCACTTTTGCGCGCTACACTCCATCTCGCTCTCCAACCATGGTGTCACCAAGCAAGCTCGCGTCTCTTCATCCGCCGTGGCTCCTGTGCACTCACTGGAGTGGTTGAGTCCTGGTTAAGGCAACTCGGAGTGAAGTTGCCTGCTCGTGTTAGTGAGCCCACGGCCCTGCGTGTAGCGCTCGCCTCCACACGCCTCGCGCAGCAGCTATGTCTGCGCATACGTGTAGGGTCTGCGTCTGATTCACTCATGTGCAAGGGGCGTTTGCGTTGTCTACGGCCTTGATTGACAGCTCAGGTTGCATGTACCTTGTGTACGTGCTGTTCCCTTTTGGATCTTTTGGTGTACCTGCTGCGAACCTGCAGGGCCTACGTTAGCCGTGCGTGTTTTGAATGCTAAGTTTTTAAGTTTGTTTGCCTTGCTGCTTTGTAATGCTATATCGTGACCCTGCGGCACGTCTTGCCGCAAGTCATTTGTTTCCTTTGTGCAAGATGCCTTGGTTGCCTTTGTCTGTTGAGCTGCGCGAGGCGGCGGTTGAGGAAACTTCGCTTACTCATCGCGAGGCTCCGAAGCCTTCCTAAACCCTAAACCTTCAACCCTCAACCCTAAACCCTAGACCCTAAACCTTGTCAGAAGCCTTCAGGAGCTTCAGCTCAAAGCACGACGCTCGAGTCGTCAGTAGCTTCACGCGTGTCCGCGGAGCGCGGTGGGCTTTCTGTGCTCGGACGAAAGAACCGTTGTTTTTGAGCCAAATTGGGGTTTAGGGTTTAGGGTTTAGGGATTAGGGTACTCCATCTTTTGGTGAGATTTTTTGCTGCAGTCGTTAGTAGACATTTGTTCTTGGGACCAAGATCATCATGATAGCAGATTCATCATCGTAACTCGCAGCTTCGTGTCATCCATTAAGCGTAACTCGTTCTTGGTGTCGTCCATCGAGGTGACATGCTAACTATCGTGGCGTGTCATCATCGGTATCAGTCGAAGACGAGCGTCCGATGCAATAGTATGTCACAATTATTTATGAGTGTTCCCAATGGCGTCATTCCCCTTAGCGTTTGGAATCTTTCACTGGTGTACTTGGAGGTTCAGGGTACTCAAAAACCCAATTATCACTGCAATTATATGCCCCCTACGTCCTCTAAATAGGTAGTCGTATAATTGGGGTTCTTAAACCCTAAACCCTAAGCCCTAAGCCCTAAGCCCTAAACCCTAAACCCTAAACCCTAAACCCCAAACCCTAACCCCTAAAGTACCCATGAACCTCCATGTAGGCCATCGGGGTGCCATAGGGCCCGAACCCGACGCCGACTTCGGAGGATCCTGGCGCGGTACATTCACCGGGAGGTGGGGCATGGCTCTAGCCTTCAGGGTTTTAAAGTTTGCGGGTTTAGGGTTTAGGGTTTAGGATTTAGGGTTTAGGGTTTAGGGTTTAGGATTTATGGTGTAGGGTTTAGGGTTTAGGGTTTGCGGGGTTGAGTTGCCGCTTGTTACGATGACTGGGGGGAGCAACAGCCCCTAAACCCTAAACCGTAAGCCCTAGACCCGAACTTGCAAGAAGGGTTGCTGCGCGGTAGATGTGGTGCATCCTAGTAGGATAAGGGGGACCCTTAAAAAAGAACTCTTCTTAACCCTCTTCTGGCTCTCTGAAACAGGGACCTTATTCAGAGGGTCTGTATCCCACGGGGTCCCCCTAATCCCCTAAACCCTAAACCCTGAAGCCCCAACCCGAAACCCCAAACCCGAAACCCCAAACCCTACACCCTAAACCTTAAACCCTAAACCCTAAACCCTAATCCCAAACCCTAACCCTAAACCCCAAACCCTAAACCCTAAACCCGAAACCCCAAACCCTAAACCCTAAACCCTGCAAGAAGGCGTGCTGCTATTTGGATGTGGTGCAGGTGCAACCCCTGTGGCTCTGGAGCCGATGGCTGCGGCCCAGCGACCTCGCTTCTTGCAGCTCCGACTCTATATCCCCCCCTTGGGGATTTTTCTTTGTAGGGTTTAGGGTTTAGGGTTTAGGGTTTAGGGTTTAGGGACCCAAGAGGATGTCAAAGATATTGTTGTTATGAAGGTTCTAAGGGGAGTATAGGACCGCAAGCTTCAGGTTTGGCAGGGTCCAGGTTTAGGGTTTTATTCCTTTAGTGTATTTGATTTTGTGTTGTGTTTTTTTTTTTTTTTTTTTTCAGGTTTTTGGGTTTTAGGGTTTTTGGGTGTTGGGATTTAGGGATTTTGGGTTTTTGGGTCTTAGGGTTTTAGGGTTTAAGGTCTTTTGGGTTCCATTGATGGCGAAGGCTTTGAGGGATGCCCAGCTAGAGCTCGTCGTCTCTTCCAACGCACGCAGATCACGGAGACCTCCCTGGCCCCTGGCCCCTGGCCCCTGCTGGCTCTTGGCGCCCAAAATCAATTGACCTGGTCTGACCCTCAAAAATGGCTGGGCCTGGCCTTGATCCTGACCCCTGACCCTCTGTCCTGACTAGTTTTGCGGCCCTGGCCTGTTCGAGTCATCTTACCCCCTTGCGCCAAGCCAAGCTGTCCGCGCACCAGTTTGTCTCCTGTTTCGGGGCGCTCTTTAGCCTCTTCGCGCCAACCCAATCTGTCCTGCCTCGCTTCCGTTTGCTACAACTTTGTGCCTGGTCCTGACCCTGGCCTGGCACCCCACCTTACCCCCTTCGCGCCAAGCCAAGCTATCCGCCACACCAGCCTGCCCAACCCAAGCTGTTCACTGCGTGTTCTTCCTGGCTGGAGCCCCTTCGCGCCAACCAAGCCTCGCTGCCTTTCTCTGTTCCTGGCCCATCCCTTAGCCCCTTCGCGCCAACGCAAGCTGTCTTCACGGACCCTGCCTCGTTTCCGTCTGCTGCAGCTTTGCGCCTGGTCCACGCACCTTGTGGAAATCCCCAAAAAGGGCGTGAGTGCTGACTCATGTGACGCTTTGTAAAAAAATAAAAGGTCTTAACTCCTTGAGAGTTGTAAGTGGGCGGTCTTGGGGTGGGTAGGTCTGCAGACTACCACGCGCTCCCAAAGCGCGCTCCCGTCTGGCACGCCCTAAGCCCTAAACCCTAAACCCGAAACCCGAAACCCGAAACCCGAAACACAAAGCAAACTTTCGCATCCAAAGGGGAGGGGGGGGGTCGGAATTGCAGCCGTGGGGTCCGATTTTGCGCTTGAAAGTAGCAAAGGCGGCACACAGTGGGCAGGGGGTGCCGCCTTGAAACAACGCGAGGAGAGTATTCCTCCAAAAATGTACATCCCCGGAAGCTGGTCTCGGGAGTTATACCACCTTGGTTCGAGCCGCGTCACTTCAGTGGCCAACCCTCAACCCTCAACCTTAAATCGCAAACCCGAAGCTCTAGGCCCTAAGCCCCAAGCCCTAAGCTCTAAGCCCTAAGCCCTCAGCCCTAAGCCCTGAACCCCAAAACCCTAAACCCTAAACCCATAACCCTGAACCCCCAAAATCCTAAACCCTCAACTTTTGGGGGAGCTGCGACAGAGCCCTAAACCCTAAACCCTAAACCCTAAACCCTAAACCCTAAACCCTAAACCCTAAACCCTAAACCCTAAACCCTAAACCCTAAACCCTAAACCCTAAACCCTAAACCCTAAACCCTAAACCCTAAACCCTAAACCTAAACCTAAACCTAAACCTAAACCCTAAACCCTAAACCCTAAACCCTAAACCTAAACCCCTAAACCCAAACCCTAAACCCCTAAAACCCTAAACCCTAAACCCTCACCTACACCCTAAACCCTAAAACCCTAAACCCTAAACCCCCCCCTAAACCTAAGCCCTAAGCCCTAAGCCCTAAACCCTAAACCCTAAACCCTAAGCCCTAAGCCATAAACCCTAAACCCCAAACCCTTACCCATAACCCAAAACCCAAAACCCCAAACCCTAAACCCTAAACCCTAAACCCTATTTGGAGGCTCCCGGGGCTTCATGCTCCGCTGGGACCTGCCTCCCGCAACTTCGGGTGGGCCCGCGCCTGGGTCCTCGCAGCTTGGGCTCTCACTTGGAGGCTCATGGTACTTACTAGACCAAGAAGACTTGTTTAGGGTTTAGGGTTTAGGATAACAGTACTTATAACATATAACCCACTGAAAAGGGGGTCGAGGCGGGGTTTTGGGCGAAAGTTCAGGGTGGTGTTTGGGCGAGTTGCGTTTCTTGCTTGGAGTCTTTCTCTTTTGGGGGGGTGTTGTGGGCCCTTTTTTGGGGGACCGTTAGGTCCGTTAGGTGTCTCCTAGGGCTTTTTTGGTGGCATTTGGGGTTGTTAATTTCTATCTCATAATGGGCATGAGTTAGGGTGCAAGGTTATTGTCGGCTACTTCCCTGGTTCGTAGGGAATGAGGGCCATGGGGCCCTACCTTTACACGTACCTCATCCCCTCATTCCCTACTAAGAACCAGCCAGACTTATCATGGGTTTCCCCCTAAATAGCCTTAGTTATGGAGGAAACCCAGGGGGGGGTAGTATAGAGGGGTAGCCCTAAACCCTAAACCCTAAACCCCAAACCCTAAACCCTACACCCTACACCCTAAACCCTAAACCCGAAACTACTAGGGGAACCCATGAACTTAGGTACACGCTGATGCTGCAGAAGTCCTCGCAGATCTTCCTCGCCGCGCACGCGGCCGCTGGGCTGACGGGTTCGTCTCGTCCAGCTCTGGCTGCCCCCGAAGTTGCCCAGAGGATCCTAAACCCTAAGCCCTAACAAAGCCCTAAGCCCTAAACCCTAAGCCCTAAACCCTAAACCTTAGACCCTAAACCCAAAACTCCGGACCTTAGACCTTAAACCCAAGACTCCTGAAGGCAATATTCCTTAAGCCGTTCTCGGGTGCCTTTCCCGGAGGACCCCCCCACACCCTCAATTTGAGAAGTTCTCCTGAAGTAAGAAAAACAAGGTTCCCAACATGGCTGCGGTTTAGGGTTTAGGGTTTAGGGTTTAGGGTTTAGGGTTTAGGGTTTAGGGTTTAGGGTTTAGGGTTTAGGGTTTAGGGTTTAGGGTTTAGGGTGAAGGATCCCAGCATAGCTTGGAGTTTAACGTGCATTCCTTGCTCCAGGGGTTTTGGGCTCTCAGTTTGAGGTTCAACTCTTTGCCTCCAAGTACCTACTTTTCTTGTGTTGTGTGTGTGTGTGTGTGTGTGTGTGTGTGTGTGTGTGTGTGTGTGTGTGTGTGTGTGTGTGTGTGTGTGTGTGTGTGTGTGTGTGTGTGTGGGTTGGGGGGGGGTGGGGAAGGCACGGGGTTATGCCCTTGAGTTTCCCTAAGCCCTAAACCCTAAGCCCTAAACCCTAAACCCTGCACTCTAAACCCTTGGGTTTAGAAGCTCACCCAAAGCCCTGCACTCTCACCACCAGCGGGCCACTGGGCCTTCTGAGGCGTGCTTGTCCCAAGCTCTGGGAAGCCCCGAGACTCTGGCCGCCTGCTTCGATTTGCACTCAACCTGTCTGGTCAGCTCTCTGAAGACCCATGCCATCCCCTCAACCCCGTCAACCCTAGACCTACAAGCCATACCCCTAAACCCTAATCCCCAAAGAGCCCTAAACCCTAAACCCCCTCATAACCCTAAACCCCAAAAACCCCTATATCCCCCCCAGGCCATCAAGACAAGCCTGCTGAAGGGTGCTGCGCCGGGCTGGGAGCCGGAGAAGCTTGGCCCGGAAGCAGAATGACTTACTACGAATTGCTTAAGAACCCCAAAAAAACAAAAATAGAATTCCCTTATTAAGGGTAATATAGGGATTATCATTTTTGTTTTATTCTTTTGGGGTTCTTAAGCAAATAGTAGCCAATAGGGGCTGCTTAGATATGTTGCAGGCCACACTACCAGGCTTCACCGACGAAAAGCTGGGTATCACGATCGGCAAAGCCACTGCCAAAGTGCAAGCGCGCTACCTGCAACGGTCAGGTTTAGGGTTTAGGATTTAGGGTTTAGGCAACACCGAAAATTGCCATCGTTATTTCAGAACGGCAAAGAGTGCTTGCTGCAACAGGCTTGCTAGACGCAAGACTTGCGAGCTGAACATCGCTGTGGGGTCGACGTGCCCAGATACAGGTGTTGGTTCGCGCCCGGCGTGTAAGCTGAACATGTGTTCACTTCTGGATCGCGCATCGTGGAGCTTGAAAGGCATGTGGTTTGGGAAACACATGTGTTTGGTGGTCTGTGGTCTCCAGTATGAGATAAGACAACATCATACTATGGAACAATATAACCCCAGATTTTATACGTGAAATATCCATCTGTATATGTTTCTCCAAATTCTATTTAGTACTGCCGAGGAAAGGCCAAGCACTGAACTTGGTCGTCGACTGTCGAAGTCCCGCACCTTGGAAGCATCTGGCCCACTTTGACAGGACCATGAAGCCCTTTAGGGTTTTAGGGTTTTAGGGTTGTAGGGTTTTAGGGTTTTAGGGTTTTAGGGTTTCAGGGTTTTAGGGTTTTAGGGCTTTAGGGTTTTAGGGTTTTAGGGTTTTAGGGTTTTAGGGTTTTAGGGTTTTAGGGTTTTAGGGTTTTGGGGTTTAGGGGTTTAGGGGTTTAGGGGTTTAGGGTGGAAGGTAGCCCCGAGTCGCCCCGAGCCCTCAATCCCGTCTTGCATACTAGGCCAGGCCGCAAGCCAGAAGGCTTCCAACCACCACCCATTCACGGACTTTTGGACCTTCTTTTGCGAAATAGCAAGGAACACACAATCTCAACCCTAAACCCAAAACCCTAAACCCTAAACTCTGAACCCTACCCCCTAACCCCTAAACTCTGAACCCTAAACCCTAACAATCTCATCGTGTCAGTGTCAGGCTGGGTGGACGGGCTCGCCAGAGGAGTGCGAGGCTGGGTAGAGGGGAGTGCTGCTGGTGGAAGTTTTTTGGGTGCTAGGCCCAAACCCTAAACCCTAAACCCTAAACCCTAAACCCTAAACCCTAAACCCTAAACCCTAAACCCTAGACCCCAAACCCCAAACCCCAAACCCCAAACCCCAAACCCCAAACCCCAAACCCCAAACCCCAAACCCCAAACCCCAAACCCCAAGCCCCAAGCCCCAAGCCCTAAACCCACCATCTCAACAATGGTCTCCCAGGTGGATCCCCTGGCACCAGCTTTTTCTGGGGTTTAGGGTTTAGGGTTTATAGGGTCTAGGGTTTAGGGTTTAGGGCTTAGGGTTAAGAAAACTCAAAAAGTTCCATGATGTTCTATAGGCCTCGTCCCTACATATAACCCAAGATCAGCCACAGACTTTGTTTGTTAAATATGGCCCCCCCCCCAAAAACCCACCTTTTCAGGGACCTTCGGGGTTCTTTAGGCGGTTTCTAGGGGCTACTTATACTTAGGTATACGGGGACTATCTAAGGTGTATATGGGGGTTATATAGACGGGAGTAAGATGAAGGGTCCCTCATATTTTTTCCGTCCCTCCTTACCCCTTCAACCCCAGGAATTTTCTGGGCAGGCTGCGTTGCGAAACGCCCGCCGCAAGGCGACGGCGCTGGGTGAGATGCTGCTGCGCCTCGTCTCCCCTTTCAAAAACCGCCCGGAGCCTAAACCCCCAGCCTTGAACTCCAAGCCTTAAACCCTAAACTCAGGGCCTAGGCCGCCCTACATTGGCGGGCGGCGCTTAAGCCCTTCGACCTCGATGGCGCAAGCCGACCCAGGTCGCTCGCCTGCCTCCCACAGCTCGGGGGTCGGTAGCACCCACGAATAACCCACGATATAAAGTAGGTACCCTGAACCCTCCCCTGTTCCTGATGACGCTGGCATTTTCGGGGGGGGGTCCCGAAATCGGGTACCCCCAAGGCCCCAGCCCACCACGTCCTGGAGCCCTCGACGCAGCGTGCCCCGGCACCAGGGAGAGCTTCAGGCCACCTACGTGGCGCGCCTTGGCCCCTGGCCCCCCCGCCCTGGCCCCTTAACGGGTCAGGGAAAGTTAGGTCCTTTCCCTCACCCCGAACCCGCTTCCGCCCTTACCCCTTTCCGTCGAACATCATTTAGAAGTGGACTGTTGCCTTGAGTTTAGGCCTAAACCCGACAAGGAATATTTGGGTGGCTCTGCCGCCTCGGACGGCGTGGGGTGGGAGGAAAGTGTTAGATGGCCTCCACAATCGGGCCAAAGCTGCTCTCGCAACTCACGAAGCTTTTCGAGCTTGTTCCGAAACCTAACCTTCACAGCACCTACGCCCTATCACAGCAAGCCCTAAACCCTAAACCCTACACCCTAAACCATAAACCCAAACCCTAAGCCCTAAACCCTCAGCCTACTGAGGTGCTAAGCCCGATAAAAGTGCCCAAGGTGTTTGTGCGGTGTTCGGGTTAGGATCAGAACCTGAAAGCCTGAAAGCCTTAAACACCTAAACCCCTAAACCCCTAAACCCTTAAACCCCTAAAACCCCTAAACCCCTAAAACCCCTAAAGCCCCTAAAACCCCTAAAACCCCTAAAACCCCTAAAGCCCCTAAACCCTAAACCCTAACCCTAAACCCTCAACCCTAAACCGTAAACCCCTAAACTCTAAACCCTAAACCCCAAACCCGCCCTAAGTCCTGGACCCAGGTATCGCGAGGCTTCGCAGAGAGCGCTGAAGGCACTGGGAGCCAAGCCCTTGTGGATTGGTGCCCGCATCTGGGCGAGATTCCGTGTTTGCGCTTTTAGGGTTTAGGGTTTAGGGTTTGGGGCACCGTTGTTTAGAGTTCTTTTAAAGGCCTGGGTCAGGGGGAGTGGAGGGTATTAGACGGGAGGAAGGTGTTTTTTTACGGCGAAGCCCCCGGCGAGCCCAACCGCGTTTAATTCAGGCAGTTCGGGGCGGGGCTCCCCAGATCAGAACTGGGGGTTTAGGGTTTAGGGTTTGGGGGTTTACGGTTTACGGTTACGGGGTTCCCAAGATTAGGACAAGGGGCACCTATCATGGGTGTCGTTGCAGAGGGGATCGCGCATATGGGTGTTTACGGTATTAGGGGTACCTTCTTGGGGTCCTTGTTAGAAGGGAATCCAACTATTTCGGGTCTATTTTCGGGTCCCCTATTTTCGGAAACCCCCATACAAGTGGTGCCCCTATTTTGGGAAATTCCCATACCCTAAACCCGAAGCTGCCCGGAATCTGGGTCCTCTGAGTCAGCTTTGGGGATCGAGGATCTAGGGGTTGGGCTTTGGCAACGGGGGTTGAGGGTTTAGCGTTTAGGGTTTAGGGGTATCATGGAGGGACCTTCACCAGAACGAGCACAGAGCACATACCTTCGCTCAGATACCTCAGTTCTCCTTGTTCGTGCCCCGAGGGCTTTGCATGGGACCTTCAAGGCTGTCAACACAGAGTCCCTGAAAACCATGAACCCCTAAACAATCGACCGTCAGTTGCTAAGGCCCTTCCTTCGAGAAGTTCTCTACCACAGACCCGCTCCTTTTTGTAGGCAGGGCGGCAAGCAAGCTGGATATCTTGGTTGTTGACTAAGGACTGTGTTATTTAACCATCGTGTTCTATGAGGAAGAGGAGCTTTTAGAACATAACACGCACATCTTTTCGACGAGCTTTTGTAAACACCCCTTCATGACACACAGGTGATGCTCTAATGGGGTTCGCGCCGTGGCTAGCTAAGTGTTCCTTCTACATTCGTGCTTGCGTCCCTCACACGCTTTTCGAGGGCTTCTTGATGGAGATTCAAAGTTGCCAACAGTTGGTGGTCCTTGGTAAGAGGCGAACTTTTGTTCAAAAGGCAGACAGGCAAGCCCAAACGCCCCTACACCCTAAACTCAGCATGTGTGCTAGGGACCCCCTTTAACACCAAGTCCTTTGACCCTTCAGAACTGCTAAGGGCGTTGGGTTGGGGGCTGAGGCTTTAAGCTTTAGGGTTCAGGACTTTTTCGAGATATAGAGTTTACGGGGGTGTGTATCAGGCCCCTTATAAGGCTTATAGGGTTTACAGGCTTTCTAGGGTTTCAGGGTCCGAGCCTTCCAGGGTTGAGGGGAGGGGGCTTGGGGCAGAGGAGCGCTTCGACAGTTCCCGT